TATCATTCTATGCGTTATTATTCTAAGGCTCTAATACCAAGTGGAGGGTTTGTTACGCTCTACGCTGATCGTAAATATTGCTGCTTAATTACATTTTATTATATTTGTCAACACTTTGATATGATTTGAGAATTGAATTTTAAAATTGCTTAAAATATAATTAAAGTCAATTCATAAAATTAATATTCTTAACTTTAAGGAAACATGATTTTTAATTTATTAAATTCCATTTAAAGCATCCGACATAATGGCAGACTTTACACAGACACTCTATCGCGTGTCTAAAAACGTTGACGTAAAAGCATTGACTTACAATTATATGGACGTCAGGTCCGCGCAAAAAGTGTCCGAACTTATAGGGCGTTAAAATCGTATACAGAGCGTCATTCACGCTTTAGTCTTCGTTTGTTCGACTGACAGCGAAGCAACCAAAATAAAACAGTACTACGATGACATTACAATTTAAATTCAACGTTTTAGCTTTTTCATATTCCTTTACATGTCACTACGTTTAAATAGGTTGACTTGGGACATTTTTTCGTGGTTTTTGTATTAGACTCGTCGTCCATTTATTTGTAAGTCAATGCGTAAAAGGGAAAGACAGCAAGACTGCGCTCTTCAGTCACGCACTCCAACACGCAGTGTATCCTGCGCTATTAGCCTTTACACGAACACTCTTTCCGTTCTAATAAAAACGAACACGAACAATCGTGCGCGAAAGAACGTTAGCTTAAAAAATTCAAATAGATAATTGCGCACGATAGCGCGTGCAGGCTTTCCCGCGCTTCTGATCACGCGCTATAGAGCGACTGTGCAAATAATGTCGACCTGAGTAAACGTGTTCAGTGTGTTGTTTAAAACTTTATTATTGCACAGCAGTCGATATCTTAAGGTATCTCACTTCCTACTATTCAACAGAAATAAACTTTAGCTTTTTGGTTGAAATTTGTATTTATAATAATAATTAGAGATCTTAAGTGTTTCTTCATTCGCTAATCTATACCCCCAATGAATATTACGCCAACTTAATTTTTGGATCTGTTCTGTTTTTATTTTGTTTTTGTTTCTTTATTTTTTTTTCTAATTTTGTTTTTGTTTCTTTTTTTTCTTAGTATACGGGAAGCATAACACTGGTAAATAAATGTGGCTGTTTACAATAATAATAATGAAAATTACCAAAAAATTAAGTAGGCGTAGTGTTGATTGGAGATATCGTAATGACGCCATGAGGAAGGGATATCCAAATTAATATTACGGCTCACAGATTATATCTCTTTGATATTATATTTGTATATGTTTGGTATTAAGCAATTTTCAGTACATTGTGTATTAAAGACGGTAAATCAGGAATTACGAACAAGACTCTATTAGAAAGCTGCTTTACGACTGCGAAGGGCTTTTGGAGTCGAGGTGAAACAAACAATGTTTTTCATCACACTTGCACGTAAATGTGCAGTATGATTGCATGCAGGCTAACTTGATTGTAATGGTCGAAATAAACCCTACGGGCTTTCTTCTCAATACAACCATGGTCAGTAATGATACTGTTTACGTGTAAGTGTGATGAAAAATTATCCGACTTCAATAAAGGAGGAGGTTCTCAATTCGACTGTGTTCTTTTTTTTTTGTATGTATGTTACGCGATAACTCCGGTATTTGTGAACCGATTTTCATGATTCTTTTTTTGTTGGAAAGGGGGTACTTCCATAGTGGTCCCATTTCATTTTGAAGAAAATCATCCACCTCGAAGGATGGCTGTTCACGAATGAAGATTCATTTTTATAAATAGCACCTAACTTTAATTTAGGAGCAATTGCTTTAATGGTTGATTTTCTATTTCTCCAATTCAAGGCGTTTTCCTCTCCATATACTTTGAGTAGTGTCGTAGTGAGAACCTATTTTTATTATCTCCAGTGTCAAGTCCTGTATAGTGGCGAACTCTGTATTGATTTGTGTAATTGTTGGGTGTGTGAAATTTTATTTATTTAGTGCCTAATTGTCCACAATAATTTGAATACCTTAGAATTTTTTTAAATACCTAAATATATATATAAGGATTGTGGTGTTCCAATTTATGACGGACCATGACAGAATAACACTGACGGCTATGTAATGAACATAGTCCTCAGATGCTGAGTCATGGGCCCTTTTAACATGCTTTTTTATTTTTCTTCTTTGTTTTATTCGTTTATATATTTTGCATGTCAAATAAAGCCGATTCTATTTATTAATAGTTAAGTTTGTTTCACGACATTCTTCATACTAATCTCCTCAGAACCAAATACTCGATTAGGGGGTCAGGTATCTCAAGACATCGAGTGCACAAACAACTTAACTGATAGAATAATTCTAGGGTTGGCGGACTAAAGTACATTGGTCAATATCCAACATCATTCATTACATTGGCCAAAATCCAACATCATTAATTTAAATTATTTATGATGTTAGAAATGTAGTCCTGTTGTTTTTAAAATATTCACAACCTCGTTAGTCCGACCGGATCGAAGGAATTTTTTCTGAGTGTTTTTTCTGAGTGTTCGATCTTTGTATTAATAATTGTAACAAACTAGTGGAGTAATTTCACAAAAAATAATTGAATATCAATTCAATAAAAATTTAATTAACCTCGTTAATATTTTATAAACAACCCGTTGTATTAAAAAATTAAACACTTTCTTGACTTATGTGCTTTCAGTCCGCCGATCCTAGAATGTTATTTGTAACAATTAAAATATTTTCGCGGTTCAAAAGTTTAAAATGGATTTTAAAATCTGTAATAATCTGAATAACTGACAAATACTTTGTTATATTATAATTATTATAAATATTTGATAATATGTAATAAAATTGAACATGATCATAATGAGCCAAGACAAAGAATTCTGTCCACCTTCTCATAACTAACGCATTTTGTATTTCGGGAACTTACGAGATGTTGGCACGTAACGTTCTATTGTCACCTGATGGCGGTACTTCACATGGCATCTTGTATTCGCTATTGAGTATTCATCGAGTACGTAACCAGAAATAGAAACTCGCGTCAAAGTTCAATGAAAAATAAAGCAGTTTCGAATTGACGATATATATTAAGTAAACAATTTTATTTTCGCGTTATTAAAACTTTTTAATCAGCTACCCCTTGCAATAGTAATTAAATTATAAATCTAAAAACTTATAGATACGGCTCACATTTGATTATATTTTTTTCGATAATGAATTGAGATTAGACCTCACTATTGTAATCTGTCAAAACGGCCACCATAGCGTACAGTACCGACTGTAATGAAATTATGTATATTTTTACGGGCATACAAAATATTTGATTAAATGTACTGTGATGCCACAGTCTTGATACCAGTCCCCTTAAACTTTTCTCTGAGAGAAACCCGAGAACGTAAGCGGTTCACAGAACCGTCTATATAATGGCGCCAAATAAGGAGTTAAAATAATAAGTTTGGCACCTTTGATGTGCGTCGAGAAACCAACCAGAGTGCGGTAACGCGAGTTTGGTGTTTGCTATATTTGTCGAATTGGCAAACAAGGCAAATGCTTTGTCACATATGCCATCTACACATGGCGATTGTTTGCCAAATATATCCAATACGCAAATACAAAAATATAAAACACCATCATGTGTGAACCGATTTCGATGATTCTTTTTTGATGAAAAGAGGGTACCTTAGATTTCCCATTTAAATTTGAAGAAAATATCCACCTCTAATTACTTTCGAGGTCGGTTTTTTTAGTACTGTGTACTGATTAATTAAAAAATTAGTATACTTCTTAATGTTTTTTTAATATATTATATTTTTCTTGTCTCTCAAAGACACTCTGGGGCACAGATTGTAAATTACCCTAACCGTTGGCAATATAATTTCTATTCCAGACACACTGCTTCATTTCCATAAAATTCAGTTGTAGCAAAATTAGGTTAAAATGAAAAGATAAAAAAATGGCGATTGTTTGCCAAATATATCAAATACGTAAATACAATGTGAAGTGGCACCATAAAAAATGTCAAAGTACGCTTGATTTTGTTATAATTTTTTTTTTTAATTATAAATTTTTTTGTTATAAATTTGTTATAAAACCATAACTAAATAAGATATTTAAAAACCGATTAGAGAAGGTCATAGTTCTCATATCGCAGTTTCCAGATAGGTCAACAACTCGATTTCCTTAAAAACGTCCATTACGATAGTTATGTTAAAGAGGGTAGAATTGTAAAAACAATATTTTTTCAATTTTCGAAAAATATTTTTATAGAGTAGTAAGCACATCCAAAAGGTTTTTGTCAATAAAAAGTACTACCACACAGAAATTACAAAACGTTATAAATAGATTTTGTCAAATATAGCATTTTGTATGAAGATTTAACTCTTAACAGTGATGTTGATAACTTTATTTAACTTCTGTGTAATAGCATCGTAATAATTATGTTAAAATAAGTTTCCAAGTTGCAAAGGACCGGCTTGGTTACCCTGTTGTTTCAATTTTTTTTTATGTGTAGAAATATGTTTGCATGATTACCTCTCCGTTTATTTACAAGTAGTTTCGTTTTTTTCGCCATTACTTCTCTTAACTACGGAAGTACAGAGTTTTAAAAGCGGAGAGCTTTAAATTTTTTTCCAAATATATAATAACAAAAACGAAATTAAAAAAATAAAAATTATGTTAAAATTAGTCAAAACTAAAAATAGTTAATATATTCTTTGTTTAATCTATTTTCTATAATTTGATACTAAAGGTAATTTCTATCTTGCAAATATGGGCTTCACTAAATTCTCTAAATTATGTGTATTTTATTCTAATCTAACTATTAAAATGATCCTAAGAGTGAATTATTATGATTATTAAAAGTTTTATATTTTTCTATTGTTTTTTTCTCTATAACTCACTAACAAAAAAAAATAGTGACGAGTTGAAATAAAAAAAATAACACTTTTGTATGTGAGCGTAGTTGAGATTGTTTGTTTACGCATCATTCCGCTAGATGGCGTTGTCTTAAACTTCAACAAAATTTGTTAATGAGGAACCATATTGAAAGACGTACAATGTCATAGAACGTAAATTAAAACGTAAATGGGACGCGCGCGTTTGACGGTTCAGAAGATTCTAGAAACTGGCAGAATGATCTAGAAGTGCGCGAAAAGAACAGATCGCAGCCTCGGGCGTACGACGGCGCGGTAAAAGCGGTCAAGTAGAGTGAGAGCGTGAGTCGCAGCAGCTCGCCAGCGCCACACCTGGGTTTGCTCTGCGGGACAAGTGCAAACGGGAAAACGGTAGCGCTTCGCCTCGCTCCTGGAACAAAATAGTTTTAATTTTAGATTATGTTAGGTTATAATTAACGCACACACTGAACATAGCCCCGCACTAGGGAAACCCTGCGTCGCGGGCGCCATGGACACACACATAGACAACCACAAATTACACCCAAACTCACGAGTGAAATAAATGTAGACCGTATAAATATCTCTTTCGGCCCGGGAATCGAACCCGGGACCACTACGTGGCAGACCAGCATGGTAACCGTTCTGCCACGGAGGTAGTTAAATTAGAATTTTCATACCCGGAATATCGGTAAAATTCGAAAATCTCGACGATTTTCTATCATTTTCGAGCTCGGAACCATTGACTTACAATTATATGGACGTCGGGTCCGCGCTAAAAAGTGTCCGAACTTATAGGGCGTTAAAATCGTATACAGAGCGTCATTCACGCTTTAGTCTTCGTTTGTTCGACTGGCAGCGAAGCAAGCAAAATTAGACAGTACTGCGATGACATTACAATTTAAATTCAACGTTTTAGCTTTTTCATATTCCTTTACATGTCACTACTTTTAAATAGGTTGACTTGGGACATTTTTTCGTGGTTTTTGTATTAGACCCGTCGTCCATTTATTTGTAAGTCAATGCTCGGGACTGATGTTTTCAGTTTCGGGAATATTGAGATATTTGAAACTGAAGTCCAACTTAATTTAACCCTTTCATGAACAATAATTAAATAGTACAGCACATAAAAATGCATTCTTGTCTGTACATCAAATATTTCTCCAAGTAGATCAAACACCCACATCGAGTATATAACCAGAAATAGAGACGAAATAACGGCCATCCAACCCTTGCAACTCATCAGGCAAAGGGCAATAAATTACTTTTAAATATGAACTCTCGTTTGCGCTGAAATCACAAATTAGAAAGCTGAAATAGTACAGCGTCGTCTCCGTATAACCCAAGAATATTCTGTATTTATTGTAATAAAGATCTCTAGCAATTGGGGGCTGTTCCATTCGTCATTCCATGGTGTGGGAACAGCAAAACATCTAATTACAAAATAAACGGAATCACATTTCATCGGTAATTAAATATTAAAAGTGTAATTTTTTAATTTTCGTCCATTATAGCAAAGATCAAGTTAACTGGTCGATTTGAAGTGAAACAAATGACGACACCCGTCAATTGTTTCGAATTCGCGCTGGCCAATCGGAGCGCAGTTGTCACCGTAATGATTTGGCAGAATAGCTTTCAAACAAATTAAATGACATTTCTCTATCTCCGGTTATATACACCAAGGTTAAAAATAAAGACTATATTTTAGAGTATGCAGTACAACTTTATTATTACATTAACTAAAGTTACTTTGTTACGTAGAAGTAGATATTTATGTATTAAATCTTGTAGCCTACATTCAAACCATCTGTGGTAACGCATCACAAAACCAATAAGACGCTAATCTTTAAAATGATGTATCTCTATTTCTAGTTATATACTCGATGTTAAGGCTGCTAACAGATAGACTGCGTGTTTGCAATTAATGCGTGGTGTGTTGTGGTCCATATAAAGACACGCAATTACACCCACCGTGCTCCCGACCCAACACGCGCCCGACCCGCACCCGTTCTCTGTGTGTTTCATTCTTAAGCGACACGCCGGAGCTTTAAATCGCAAAGTTCTGAGGGGCATGGGAACTGTGCCTGTCACCCGGAGACATATGTTGACAAGTCCAGTCCATTTCACCAGCACCCTTTCCCTTCAAAACCGAAACGCAGTAACGCTCGCATTACTGCTTGGCGGCAGAAATGGGTGGCAGTACTTCCCTGGACGAAATCTTCCACAAGGAGCTCCACTGCTACGAAAATGTTGTGCTACTTTACGAATGACAGTTAAGTAGTTTTTTTCATAAATTATACCTGGCAGGCGGCGCGTCGTCGGTCTGACGTCATAGCACCGTGTCGAACATCTGCAGCGATTTAGTGATGACGTCGTCCTTCAGGCACGACTCTAAGAACTCCTCGATCGTGATCACGCCGTCTTGGTTAAGATCCAGCTTACTGAATACGCGGTCCACCTGAATGTAGAATTATATTTTTCTAAAATTAAATTATTTTTTCATCTTCCAGACGTCGCAAACTGGTGATTCACCTTTGCCTGGTAAGGAATGTAATTTTCAAAGGTGTGCCAAGTTATAATAACCGTCATTTTTGGTGTAATAAGGTTATTGTAATTGAAATATAATAATAATAACTTTATTTTTCCTTTACAAAACTTTGTTTTACAAAAATAAGTAAACAAAGAAAACAAAACGTTAGTTGTCTGCAAAGGCTGGAGACTGATCTAGGTTATCCTGTGATATAGGTCTCCAGATTTCCAGACCTACGGATAAAATATCCCTCATTTACGACACAATATATTGTTAAGATATAATAATAAAAATAAAAAACTTGTGAAACTAACGTAACGAGCTCGTGTGTGTATGTGTGTGTGTGTGTGTGTGTGTGTTCGTGCGTGCGTGCGTGTGTGTGTTTGTTTAAACCTTGATAGTACATTCTGTTCAATCTAAATAAGTAAGAGAGAAAATTAAGTAGCCTTATGATGGGATATATATTCCGCCTTCTTATGTCTAATGCCGGCTCCACACGCCTGGCGTTTGCTACAAGCCCTAAACCTCTACAAACGCTTGGCAAGTTAAGAGGGAGCATGCCAAAAAAGTTTGACGTTGGCTCCGCCCAAATTTGTGAAACAAATATATGCCTGAAGTTTGCGTGACATGCGACAGGAGATATTGAATTTTGTGCATTAAAAGTACCAAATTCGTTTTAGCGGAATAACTCTAAAACTAAAGGGATTAAAACAAAAATCCGTAGTGATAGTTCTGGATCATGCATAAATATAATTAGTTATCTAATTTTTGTCCTAATAACCTGTAGCATTTCGAGGATGAATCGAAAAAATGTGAAAACTAGAGGTCATTTCGTGATTTTTATCTATCGAGGAAACTTTATTGTTTTATGTTTCTGATTAATGTCTATGCTTGAATATATCGTGTAGTTGCTCATACAATATTTTATTTTTAACTTTAAAGTGGATATACCATTCTAAAATCAAATCGAAGATTAGGATTTTTTCCTCTGCTCCCACTTAAATGAAACAAATGTCAGCATGCACATGTTTGCAAGCGCACTAGTGTGCTCCAGAGATGCAACCATGGCGGACGTCGAATTTGTGTCTGCTATTACGTTCGCCTTGACCTATTTTTATTACAAAAAACAACATGCGTCTGCTACTTTTTTGTCTTTTGCTTCGGATTCCAAATGCAGGGTTCTGCTTGGTAGCAGCCCAAAAAGAATAAAACAGTTTCGTTTGACAGTCACCCACGAAAAGCTGTCACTCCTAGATTTTTTTAAATATCAAGTGACGGGACGAATTAGTCGCGCGCGTTATCGTAAGCTACACACCTGTCCATAACAGTTACAGTGCCGTTCAGAGCTTTAAATCGCAAAAGGTCTAAGGGGCTATAATGTAAGTGCCTATAATATAAGTTGACAAGTCCCGTGAACCTGTAATTTCACCAGCACCCTTGCCCTGTAAAACTGGAACACAGTAATGCTAACATTACTGCTTGGCTCTTTCACAAGAAGCTCTACTGCTACAGAGACTAGATTACAATAATTGTTCTTTATAGCTGTTTTTAAATTCTTTCCGCTAAGGAAAAGGATATCAAAGCTGCCTATGAAGACAGTACTGCGTCATCCTTTTTAAAATATAATGTATTCTACGGCATATCCATCAATCCAAAACGTAGCAGAAAAGAATTCTATCTGTCGACAGTTTTCAAACAATACTAACTAGCACAAACGCTTGCCGCAAGCTGCCTTTGATTTGTGCACAAATCGGCGAACGGATCGGCGGCAAACACATGTAAGCTCCCGCAAGACAATCCAAACACACCATCCACATGTTTGTGCTTGCGCGCGCTTGCCATGGTTTGCCAAGCGTGCGGAGCCGGCATTAGGTTACGTGGCGTTATAACAACCAAGTCTTATCTAAACAGTCCGCTAGATGTCATTACCTGTTCATTTGCCTTTGCGTCGTCAAGCCGGGAGGCCGGCGACCCTGGAGGCGCTCGTCTTCCAAGTAATTCGTGTACAGCCACTACCACCTGAAAAAAAATTACAATAATACAAAGCAATTTGGGAAAAGAGCATTTTGGGCACGTTCGTAGGATCGTGTACGGTTAACCTTTAGATTATTGTTTTAACCTTAGAAGTAAGTCCAAACTTATGGCACCGCGATTTCGTTTAACTAAGGTAAACGATTATATTATGCGGCATATATTAAAATTACCATTTCCTAAGTTTTAAACTTACATTAAAAATATTTTAATTGAAAAGTCATACTACAAAATTTTAGTCTACGTACCTATTAGACAAAGATGTATGGAAAGACAAGAGTCTAGATTCCACCCACGTATGATTCAAAGTGTATTCCATAGCATTTAAGCTTATTTGAAAAGAGCAATACCTAAAGTTTCTTGCTCGTTCTTTTCGGGGAGGTTAGCACAGTGAACAAGAGCTCAACTGCTATCAAAACGTGTGTTATAAATATCTCCAGCCCACCGTACCTCAGCCAGCTCCTGCCTGGTAATAGCGCCGTCTCCATCTACGTCGTAAAGTCGGAAGGCCCAGCGTAATCTCTCATAGACTGACCCTCGCAGCAACGTGGACAGGGTCACCAGTAGCTCCTGGAAACAAAAGTGGGTTATTCTAAATATGTAGGGTTTTGGTTAACGGCACGTTCCCATTGTGTCGTAACGTTTTATTTATCGTTGGACGACTGTCGCTTTTAGCCTATTCCCATACCACGACTGTCTGTCGTGACTGTGTCGTGTACTTTTTTATCGTTGAAAGACTGTCGCTTTTAGCCTATTCCCATACCACGACTGTCTGTCGTCACTGTGTCGTAGACGTTTTTTTACTGTTGAACGACTGTCATGATTAGCTACTCCCATTTGATCGTGATTTATCGTGACAATTTATCGGTTCACGGCATCAGAATCGTTTGATGTACAGCCGAGGGAGCGGGGAATAAGAGGGGAGAGTAGGAAGCAGAACACATGTAGGCAATCTACTTTTTTTATCGTCGAACGACTATCGTGCTAGCTCTTTCCATTGTCTTGACAGTCTGTCGTCGTAACGTCAAAAAAGTCGTGAACGACAGTTAGTCGTGTAATTTGAACAACTTCATTTAAATATACAAGCCACGACACTTTAAACTGCACGACAATCTGTCTTCATGACATAACGGGAACACGCTCTTAGTATCCGGACAAATCCGATAATACAATACAAATTTACAGGTGATCCTAATATCCTAGAAATATTTTTGTTTCTTGACCTCCTATGGGATGGACGCAGTTGTAAAAATAACTATGTAAAAACAAACATTCTTATTGAGAGGTTGGTCTTCAGGTTCCTAAATACAACGCACCTAACTGAGTGGTTCTTATAAGGAATGCGCGAACAAAACCGCGGGTTAATCCTAAATTTATAAAGTAGGCAATTGTAGATAGGAAGCGAGGATCTAAGTTGGTGGTCGTCAAATGAATGATGTGCGAAAAATTTAAACAGCTTACTTGATTGAAACTGAAAAGGCATTATTTCACCAGCACCCTTACCGTTCAAAACCGGAACATAATAATGCTGACATTACTGCTTGACGGCAGAAATAGGTAAGGTGGCAGAACTCTTTCACAAGAAGCGCTACTGCTACTTAAATGCCCATTAGATAATTAGTCTCAAGGGAATCTGCTATACGAATGACCAGTAGAGTATAATCCATATGACTATTTCAAATGTAATTTGCTTACATATGGAATATTTAAGTTTGAATTTGAACCACATTAATTCATTCACTCACTCACCGTCACTTTCCATTAGGTGAGATGGAAGTAAAATGCGCTTCCATGTAATAAAAAAGGTAGAAACTTCGAACCTTACTTTCGTTAGAATATTTTCAATCAGGTAGAGATATTACGCCAACATCAATGACTTACAAATAAATGGACGACGGGTCTAATACAAAAACCACGAAAAAAATGTCCCAAGTCAACCTATTTAAACGTAGTGACATGTAAAGGAATATGAAAAAGCTAAAACGTTGAATTTAAATTGTAATGTCATCGCAGTACTGTCTAATTTTGCTTGCTTCGCTGTCAGTCGAACAAACGAAGACTAAAGCGTGAATGACGCTCTGTATACGATTTTAACGCCCTATAGTTTGGACACTTTTTAGCGCGGACCCGACGTCCATATAATTGTAAGTCAATGGCCAACATGGACTTTTTTCCATGTTTCTATCAACATTTGCTATTCAACGTGTATCGTTTCTGTACTCCAAAATCCATCGTTTCCACATTACGGGCCCATCGAAGCATTTTTCTTTTTCCAAGACACTAAATCATTACAAGCCATTTATAACCTTCTCGCCAAAATGTCGAGTTCCGAAAAATGACGTCATGGCATAACGGTCATAAATAATAGGCGCGAATGTTTGAAAATGGAATCTGTCTACGCATATCTCGCGAACACCGTCATTATTCATAGTACGACAGGTTTAGGCGTTTATGCAATACAGCCAGATCTAGATTTTAACCTTTTGACCGCCACTGATAAAAACTAGTTTTGTTGTAGCTACGAGTATGTTATAAATTTCCACCTGACGTTAATTCCATTCTCAAAAACATAACTGAACATAAAACTTTGTAACCTGAACACAAATAAATAACTAAATAAATAAATAAATAAAATGCAACTATGAATCCATACTTGATTACAATATACTACTATAACATAATATAATAACTGCCTCCGTGGCCGAACGGTTACCATGCCGGACTGCCACGCAGAGGTTCCAGGTTCGATTCCCGGGCCGGGAGAAATAGTTGTATGGCCTACAATTATTTCTCTCGTGAGTTTGGGTGTAATTTGTGGTTGTCTATGTGTGTGTCCATGGCACCCGCGACACAGGGTTTCCCTAGTGCGGGGCTATGTTGAGTGTATGCGTCATACATTTGCATCATGTTTACGGAGGCGCGTACCGACGGTTTTGACGCAGTTGTACGGAAACGCATTTCGTCGAACATGAGCAGGATGCGTGGCGGCGGTAACAGCCTTCTGAACGCAATATCGGAGGATGTAGCGTGTGCGATATTGCGCCATTGGACCAGAATTCATGTCACCAAGAAGGGATGATGACATGAATTCTAATTCCGCATACCTATTGTCAATTTCTATTATTTATTTTTAAGTATTTCTATTTTGATTATTTTATTAAGTGTAATTTACTAACATAGTCCTAAATTTTTAATTGTTACTAACAAAGTGGATCAATGACCTTAAATAAAAATAAATTATTATTATTATTAATTAACCCATTACGTCCCACTGCTGGGCAAAGGTCTCCCCCAAAATCCTCCATTGCTCCCTGTCTTTGGCGATCTCTCACCACTCTCTCTCAAACCCATCAAGGTCGTCCCGCCAACGCCTTCTCGGCCGTTCACGCCGTCTCTTTCCATCCTCGGGCACCCAAGGAGTGACAACGTTCGCCCACCTCACAGGTTGCATCCGTTAACGTGGCCCGCCCAATCTTGAGTTTAGACTTCTGGAACTCAGTCAGCGATCATGTATGTGCACTGTAGGTTAAGATGGGCAGGATGCACATATCGATGAGATGGCGTTTAAATGACATACGGTGATTAGTCTTCAAGTACTCCTTCAAGGACCAGTAGTTCTTCCAGGCGTTCTCTATGCGACGACCGATTTCCTTATCTTGCCTGTTTTCAAAGCTTGCTAACTGGCTCAGATAGATTGCTGTTACACATTATGTGTGTATTAATTTATTTTTATTTATTTGTTAATTTCAATTGAAAATAACGGTTTCATTGACACTTTAAGGCGTCATTGGCGTACCAGCCAAGTTGATTTATAAGACGCTTCAAAGCGTCGATGGCGGTCGAAGGGTTAATTTTTCACATTCTCACATTGGCTACACAGCCACCTTAGCAGCTTAAAAATGTAAGAAATAATTAAGAAACTCAACACGTGATATCCTGAAACTGAAAAGTAATTAATTTTTTTATAACCTGGTGGAAAGTGACGATGAGCTCGACGATGAAGCACGCACACCTAAATAATGCCTATTCCCGCTGACCTAAAAAGGACCAAGTTATAACGTTCAGGGAATAAGTCTGCAGGCAGTAGTTCGTGCGTATCTTTGGAATATCCATAACATAGGCATGGAACCCAAGCCTCATCTAGTCCCCCGGTGATGGAAAGGGGAAGACGGAATTAAATCGTGTAATTCCATTACACACTTTTTGTAATATACCCAGTAGAATATCGATAAGCAGGCAAACTTTACGACGATGTTCAAGGCTTAACGGTGTTCAATTCTTGTAAAAACTGTAACTACAAAACCAGCCATTTTTTTTCTCATAGAAACCTGTAATTGACCAGTGAATAGCGCCCCTGATTACGTTCCGTTTCCCTTAATTTATACAAAAGTAAATTATTTTACATAAAATTTTGTTCATGCTACCCATAAATACAGGAAAGGCTTGAACGCATAATAGAACCGAAAACTCCATGGTGTTTACGAGTTCAAATTTGCAATATGGCACTGTGCCAGGTTTGTTCGTTGACTTTTAAAGTTTATAGATATGGTCTGTTTCAATATGCTAATAGAGGAAATAAAATAACATTCACTGCGCTACACTATCAATATAAACAGGTCTTTTCAAACCTAATTTTGCTACAACTGAATTTGCGATGGAAATGAAGCAGTGTGTCTGGAATAGAAATTATATTACCAACGGTTAGGGTAATTTACAATCTGAGCCCCAGAAAATCTTTGAGAGACAAGAATATCTTAAATATACAACATATTAAATCTGGCGCCCTCAGATTAAAAAACAACGCCCAGCACATTTGTAAAAATGAATTTATGTTATGAGAAATAATTTTTTTAATGAAAAATAGTGATAGACAAAATGGTGGCACTACACTTGGTTATTTGTATTTGCGTATTTGGTATATTTCAAAAAAGCACCACGTGTAGATGGCACGTGTGACAAAGTATTTACCTTCTTTGCCTTTACGACAAATGCAGCAAACACCAAACTTTTTACCCGCGTTACCGCGTTTACACACGTTACCGCACGCCTGTCGGTTTCTGAACGCGCATCAAAGGAGCCAAACAGGCAAATACGCAAGTAAACCCTATACACTATGGTCATATCCATTAATTTAACTCATATTCATTGACTTACAATTATATGGACGTCGGGTCCGCGCTAAAAAGTGTCCGCACTTGTAAGGCGCTAAAATCGTATACAGAGCGCGACACTCCGCTTTAGTCTTCATTTGTTCTACGGACAGCGCGATACTGCGATGACATAACAATTAAAATTTCGAATAGGTTGACTTGGGACATTTTTTTCGTGGTTTTTGTATTAGACCCGTCGTCCATTTATTTGTAAGTCAATGCTCATATTGGTCAGTGTTGCATGTTTGTCTGTACGTCAAATATTTTTCGAAGTATATACTAATCTATTGTTGAAGTACCTCTTAAAGTAGGTCAATTAAAGCCTCTTTACAAATGTCATAAAAATGTATAGAAATTTAATGTTAAAATTTTGAATATTTCTAGTTTTATTCTTAAAAAGTTATTTATTTATGACGTTTT